CCCCAAAACCCCAAAACCCCAAAACCCCAAAACCCCTTCAAAATTATAAAATTTATAAAAATGTCTGATAAACATGAGAACGATGGTCAGTCCGCCTCCAAATTTATTCGGGTTTTACTTAGATTTTGAGGGATTTTACTGTGTGGTTAGCTGGGAGTGGCTTTTGAGTGGGGATTAGGGGGTTTAGGTGGGGAATTTGGGAATTTTGGGGGATTTGAGTGAGGGAGTTGGGAGGAGGGGAAAATAGGCGTTTTAAGGGGGTGAAAGGTGGGGTTATAGGGGAAGTTTGGGGAGGTATTAAGGAGAAAGTTGTGGAGAGACTTGTTTGATTGGTTGCTGATTAGTTTATAGATGATTTTCCAGTGTCTGACTACCATCAGGTTTTTAAAGTGTTAAAAGAGTTGAAATAGCGATAATGCCCCTCTTGAAGCAAGTAAGGTTTGTTATTTAATTTCAGGCGAGTCCAAACCTTTTGAGAAAGATCATGAAGGCACTATCCGTCTAGAAAATGTAGCTGGTTTGATAGAAAAGTTTAATAAAAGAGAGTACGAAAATCTGTAAGAATCAATGATTTGAGCATACTAGCACAAAAGCTGCAGATAAAAGACAGTCAAGATTTGGGTCGAAGAAGGAAGGTAACTCGGCAAGATCCTGCTTTTTTTGTGAATTTTTATAGTACTCAAGTATTTAATTTTCTAAATTGTTCATAAATTTTTAATGATTTGTGATCACTTTTGCTTATTAACCTGAGAAAGTCTAATGATGATTCAGTAAGCCCAGTTCCAAAAACCTCACTTCAAAATTTTGGAAACAATGATACTGAATTCTCAAAAGAGGACACTAAAGAGGAAGAAAAGGCTGAGACTCAAAAGAATGAGCTTGAGTTTGATGAATTTATTGATCTAATCAAAGGTACAACAATCAATCATTCTCTAGAATCTTGTAATGATAAGGAGCAGTCAGAGAACTACCTTGTTCATGCATTCTCCATGTTTGACAGGAAAAAGTAATTACGATATCTAAGTCCATAGGAAAGGCTATATTGATAAAAGTGACTTGAGTGAAGTATTTTCGATCCTCGGAGAAACTGTTGGAGAAGATGAAGTAAACAGTAAGTCCTCACCATATTTTGAGCTTCCTCTAATACTTCACTCTAGCAATGATCAAAATCGCCGGAGTGAAGAGTAACGATAAAATAAACTTCAAAGAGTTCTGAGACTTTTTCCATAAAATTGATTAAATCTAAATCTCAAGTTGTGCAATATAATAAGGGGTTTTGGGGTTTTGGGGTTTTGGGGTTTTGGGGTTTTGGGG